GATTCTGTCTCCCCCTACCTTTACCTTTGGCCCGTCCCTTAGGATGCGGCTGAATTTTAGCTGTGGGGATGAAACGGCCCCTGGAGCCCTCCAGAGCAGATTCAGAGAGGGAAGAGGCGAAAGAGGCGAGGACAGCTTCTCTACTCACGAGGCCTCTTGAAACCAACCCATTCAGACGCTGACCACCCGCTAGGCTACACGTCCTTCTCCTTTCGTCCTCGTCTAGTTGGGCTCTAGCTTGTTCGAGAGCGCTCCCGCGTCCCTCTCGATGGCCCCACGTGGGGCTGTTTTCCACCAGGATCTCCCCTCCGTGCCTGGCGATCTCCGAGCGGATGGCACCGTCGAGCTCCCGAGAGATCTTCGCCGTCGACAGTGCCCGCTGCAAGCGCACCTTGCCCTCCATGCGCGTGGACTTCTTCTTGGCTTCTTTGCCCTGCGGCACTCCCCCCCTGAAGTGCTTGATGTCCGTTGCCGCGTCCACGAGGTCGTGCTTCATGGTGTTCTCGGTCCAGTACTTGGTCAGCGTGTCTCTCGCGTGGCCTGCCTCGGTACTCGCGAGGAGCGCCCTGGTGAAATCCTTCCAGACGTATAGATGTGGGCTGCCCAACTTCGCTGCGTCCACCGCATCCCCCTCCCTTGCTTCCTCCTTTAGATCCATCGCGGCCTCGTGGTAGTCCTTGCCCGCCTGGATGGCCGCCCCGACGCGGGCGGCTGTGCTTGGGGTGATCGCCGCGACGAAGACCGCGCTGATGACCGACCTGCGGCCCCCCGCCATGCTGAGCGCGAGCTCGGCGATAATGAGCACGATTTGCTGGGCGACTTGAGATTTGGCGGCGCCTCTGCCTGCAGCTCCTTTGGCCTGCTCTACCAGCCCCTGCGCTGTTGCTTCCTTGGCGTCCGAGGCACGTGCTCAAACCGCGAGGCTCTTGTTGCTCGGTGGTCACCAGCGCGCCAACTCGATGCCCGCCTCCTTCATCCACGGAGGCTCCTTTGCGTCCTGCTCCTTGTCGTCCACTTCGGCAGCCACGTGGCATGTTCTTGCCCGCAGTGGCGGGCGCCCGGATATCAGGCATGAAGGGCAGATGGCGAGCGAGATGATCTCGAAGCTCGAGCCAAGAACCAACTACATGGACACATCCAGGGCAATGCAGTGTTTTGGGCTCTTGTGCTGGGACGAGTGCACGAGCGATGCCGGCTACGCAACGTCCTCTCTGAACAGAACGAGCTAGGCGCCGACGTGCTGTGACCTCTGCGGCGAAGACCGCGTCATGCACGATGCAGACGTTCGTCGGGTTAAAGAACGAGCAAGCGTTGACGAGACTGTGCGCTCGTCGAACGTGCGTGCGGAAGGCCCGTTCCGAATGGCAGACTCTACCACGCGTTCTCCCTTCCACATCAACTCGTCGAAACCGAATGCGAGGTCCACCTCTGTTTTGCTTGTCCCTGGAGGAAAACGCAGACTGTGCGTTGGGGGCGGTGCATTTTTGCTAAATTCGCTTGCGCGGAGGACTTTGGCATCGACATTGCGGAAGTCTTCCCGAGTTAGCGGATCCCCTAGCCCGGCCGCGACGCGCGGGCCAGCAATATCTTGCAGTCCAAGGGCCTCGTCAGAGACCCTAATGGGCGAGCCAACGTCCTGTTGCACCCGCTTTGCCCAATGGTGGGCAAGCGCAGAGAGATGAAGTCATCGTCGGCCACCGTGCACCGCTGCTGGCTGCTGATGGTGCCGGAAAGGGCCCCGAAGAACTGAACGTCGCTGTTCCTGCTTTTTTGCCGCCTGCTGTAGCCACTTCAACCTTATCACCCGCAATTCAACTTCCGACACGGGAATCTTCCACTGTGCCACGACCTCTGTGTTCGTCAGCGAGCGCACCTTGCCGTCCTCATTGCGCGCGCAGGCTGCACCTCCCATAGCAATGCGAGCCAAGGGCGCAATCGCCCCGTCGAGCGCGTCGCACTGCTTGCGCGCGGGTAGAAACGCCCCCGCCGCGGTGAGCGCAGCATTCACAGCTCTTCCAATCAGCGCCGTCCTTCGCCATCTCCACGGTGCACGCATGGCGCTTTAGAAAGATCCCATTGAATAAAATGCTGATTTGGCCGCGGAGATCCTCCTCGCAAGCTCGACGCCGAAGCTCTGGATACGCGTGGGAGAATGGGCCCCAAGTAGCGCGCTTGATCCACTATCTGTCCGTCTCATTTTGCGTGCTGTTCCTGTCGCCGTAAATCCCTTCTCGCTATTTCACTTGCAATGCCATGCACAGCCATGAGGTTGACCTGCTTTGATTTGTTCTGAGCCAGTCCCGTCTTGAGCAGCTGCTCTTGCATGAGCTTGTCGGAGCCCTGCAACTCGCCCCTCAGCTTGTCCAAATTCACATCCTCTTTCAGCGCCGGCCGCCGTTGCAACATATGATTATTAACGTCGTCGGCGCGCAGGCGCAGACTGAGACCCACTTCGCGTCAAGCCATCGGACACTTCACCGCCATCATTTTGTCAGCATCATTTGTTCGGCGCCACTGCGTCGTCCGCGGCTCAACGGCACGCGCAGGCTAGTGAAGCCATGATAGCAGTCTCTCGGCGTCTCCCTCGCGCGCGTCCGCGATGCTCTGCAGGGGGGGTTGCGGGCGACGTGCTTCGATGCACGTTGCAAAGAAAATTTGCCCAAGACGCGTAGCATGTGTAGGAGTCGCCGTCCGTCGGGCCCAGGTTGTTCGCATTTTCTCGCCGCGTAGCTCTCAGCAATATGCCAGTTCAGCGGGGTCATATGATGGTGCCGCACGTTGTAGAAAGCCACGTGCAGGCAAGCCTTGATGAAGCCTTTGTCCGTGTCTTGCAGATCAGAGCCAACCCCGCTGTGAAAAGCACCTCGTGCGGGGTGCAGCGCCATCCAGAAAAGCTCAGCAGGAGGTGGGCCTGCCGGGCACGCCTTCCCCTTCGGGGTCTGCATCAGATGCCGCCTCGGCCGCGAAATATCCCTCCGACTTTCGAGAAAGGCATCGGTAGCGTGATCATCTTGAAACTCAAGTACGTCCGCGCCTTCTTCCATAAATTGCCAGGTGTCTGGAATATTCGGCAACTCGTCTGGGACGTCTTCACATTCAAGCCCTTCCCCTTGTCCTCATGGATAAGTGTAATCTCCACTGCGCTCATACCTCCGTCGTTGCCCGTCTTCTCGAGCGCCCCCACCCGCCCCTCCTTCGTCGGGGTCGCGAGATGGAGTGTCCCACCGTGTTGTGCCCGTCCTGTTATTCCCCAGTCTGATCGTCGCGCGGTGCGCCTGAGCAAATCTCCGAGCCTCCCAGTGCTGGTTGGTCTCCTCCTCGGTAGCTGCTCTGGTCTGCGGTCGTGCCCACCTTCTGATTATCGCGCATCCCTTTGAGATGACTTTGAGTTGTGCTTGTGCATCTTCAATGGTCGCATCTGTTGCCCACGTAGCCTCCCGTAAATCACGCCCCCGCTGCAAAATCGCCAAACGAGCCTTCCTGAGAACTTTGTAAGATTCGTCGATCACGTGCGGCGTGAGGAAATGGTCCAGCCCAATTCTGACCATGCTCTGCTCCAGACCGGCAAAGATGGCATCAGGCGTCTTCTGCAGACCAAGCGGGACCCACTCCTCCATACTGTTGCGTAGAAGCTCGTTTAACTGTGTCAAATACTCGTGCTTGCGATCCCCGTGCCGAAGGGCGTGGACTAAATAATATGCCCCATTTCTCTCGACTGCGCTCATGGTCGCTATCATTGCAAGTGGCCAGTCTGTCATATAACAAGCGCGCATGCACAGGGACGTGATCTCGCAGCTCCCGGCGTCGACTGAGTTGTAGTCATCTGCCTATCTTCAGCAACGGTGTGCACTTTTGCAAGGCGTCTTTCCACGAGAGCGGGCCCGTGATGTAGTCCAGACGAGCAGTGTCGCCCTTATTGCCAAACCACGTTGGATCTAAACTGTCGCTGTACACTGCAGCGTGACTCCTCCGAAGAATTTCCCTGACGTTCTCGCCCGCTCCCTTCGTAATCTCCTTCGTCGCGCTCCTCTCGCTGATAACTGCCTCTCTGGCGAAGCCCGCTTTAGCAAGATATCCAATGCCAATGCCGTCGTTCAAGTCTGCCAGCACAAGCGGCAAAGAAGAGTGCGGTGTGTTGAAAAGCACCTGATCAAGCCACTGATGCGCATGCAAGTCTCTCTGTAAGCGGGCGCCAGCCTTAGCCGTCCTCGGACGTGGTGGGTAATACATCACGATTGCAGACAGGTCCTTCAAGCCGTTCTTGCACTCGCACCAATACTCGCCCGTGAAAGCGGAGCTGGCGTTGGAAATACTCGGCGGAAGCGATCTTTATATCCCCACAGGAGCCTGCATCCAGCTGAATGATTTGTGTATACTCCTTGACCCCAGACCGAATCAATAACCAGTTTTCCCATTGCGTCTGGCTGGACTCCATGTGAATAGCCTGGGGGGGCCTTGGTTTGCGTGCCCACGAGTGGGAAAACATCGAAATTGCGAACTTCGTCGGCTATGTCCTCGGCCCTGGACCCCAGCGCGGACAACGGGTTGAAGACCCACATGAGCAGCGGCAGTACTCCCATGGACCTGCCAGCGTGGGGCCTGGACGCCTGCGCAACCGCCATCGTCCGCGCCGCGGCGCGGCGCCTGGCGGTGTGGGGAGGGCAGGGCCCCCCACGTGCGGCCTCGCATCCTGTTCTTGGGCGGGGGCTGAGGAAGAGGAGGAGGGAGGAGGAGGAGGAGGAGGAGGAGGAGGAGGAGGAGGAGGAGGAGGGAGGAGGAGGAGGAGGAGGAGGAGGAGGAGGAGGAGGAGGAGGAGGAGGAGGAGGAGGAGGAGGAGGAGGAGGAGGGGGGAGGAGGAGGAGGAGGAGGAGCAGCGATAACGAGGAGCAGGAGCAAGGAAAAGGGATGGAAGGAGCAGCTGACGGCCAGCCCCGCCCGGGGCCGCGTGCGTACTGCGCGGCGGCCCGGCGGCCGCACCGCGTGCGGGGCGGCCCTCAGGCCTAGGGCCGCGCGAGCTCGGCCTCGAGCGCGGCGCAGCGGTCGCGCGTCTCCTGGGCGCACGCACGGATCGCCCCCGCTCCTCCCCCAGAGCCCCTACCTGCGCCTCGACGTCGTCGTCGTCCTCCTCCGCCTCCTCCTCGGCCTCGTCCTCCTCTTCGTCCCCCGGGTTCTCCTTTTACCCTCCTCGACCCCCCCCCCCTGCCCCTCTTTGCCTCCTCGTGCGAGTCCCCGTCCAGTACTCCTTCTCTTCGTCCTGGTCCCTGTCCCCCCCTGTCCTTGTCATTCCTCATCTCTTGCCTCCCCCCTTCCAACGGCCCCAAAGCCCTTCCCTCCTCCTACCTCCTCATCCTCCTCCTCCTCCACCTCCTCCTCCTCTTCCTCCTCCAGTATCGTCATCAGCGTGCCTCCCACAGGCCCCAAAGCCCTTCTCTCCTCCAATCTCATACTCCTCCTCTTACCTCCTACCTCTTTGTCTCCGTCCCCATTGCCTTCCTCCTCTTCCTCCTAATCGTCCCCCCGCCCCTCCCGCACGCGCCCATGAGGAGGAGAGGAGGCGCAGGAGGAGTAGGAGGGGGAGCGAAGGAAGTCGAAGAAGGAGGATGAGGAAGAGGAGGATCATAGTGAACCAAGGATGCGTCATAATACCTGCAAGCTGTCTTCTCTTCGGGGGTCACATGTTGAAAAACGCCCAACGAGCCTGGGGCAAGAGCCCCCATGTAGAAAAGGAACTGCCCTGAAGAACGCGAATTGACAGACATGTTGAAAAACATATCCAACGACAACTAAAGCTTGAGAACGGCCTGATGTTCATCCGTGCACCTGTTTCAAAATCTGACGCCCGTGCCTTACGTTGAGAGACGGTGTTAAGCGACCGCCCCAGTTTGAAAAGCAGGTGCCCTCCATCCAAATAGAGAAATCAGTATGATACACGTCGGGCCATACAGCTTGAGGGTGTCTCAAGCGACAGCCTGGTGTTGAAAAGGGCCGCCCTCCATCGTTGCAAGTGTTGCACGCGTTGGCTGTTCGGGCAGTACTGTATGAAGGAATCACACAGGGAACAACAGTTTGAAAATATATCGCAATGCATTCATATGATTTGCTGGAAACCTTTGAGACACAGATACGCGGCACGAAAACCAAATCCGCATGCTGAAAACGAACCGCTCTCCAGCCTTATATCGGTTGGAAGCGTTCTAGACGGAAACGCGCGGCGCTACAACGAATGCCACATTCGGGAAACCATTCGCCCTAGATCCGTGTAGCCGGTTGGAATGTGAAACTGGTGAAGTATCAAGCGAAACGTCTGGGCACCCCTATCGACACGTCTGGTGGTGCGACGAAGCGACGTCAAAATGAGGGGTCCGAACGGTTATTTGTTTTCCCTTTGTGTTTTGCTGAAGTGGCAGTCCGTGGCCGAGATTTTTGCCTGTTGTTGGATGACCGTTGAGGCCACTGATAACGTGTGAGATACTGCGAGCAGCTAAGAGCGAACAACCTTACAATGATTGTTGTTGGAATTATCTGCAGAATCTTTTGTTGTCCATCCCCCCTCTGTTGCCAATGTTTTTTCCGAACAACCGTGCGTTGAGTTGGGACCTCGTTTTGAATCAGCAGCGCGGAACGTCTACTCCTCATCGCCCTGCTCCCCCAGTGGTTGCGCACGCATGCCGCCACCACCCCACTTTGGCACACCCCTCACACTTTTCGTGGTCCCACACTGAGCTCGACCTAAGGCCCCAATGGTTGCGCACGCATGCCGCCACCACCCCACTTTGGCACACCCCTCGCACGTTTCGCAACCCAATGAAAGGGGTTCTACCAGAGGCCCCAATGGTTGCGCCAGCGTGCCGCCACCAGTCAGCTTTGGCACACCCCCCACACTTATCGCGGTCCCACACTGACCCCTACCTAAGGCCCCAACGGTTGCGCCCGCAAGCCACCACCACCCCACTTTGGCTCAACCCTCGCTCGCTTCGTGGACCCGTAAAAAGCTCCTGCGGAGGCCCCAATTGTTGCGCCCGCATGCCGCCACTGACCAAATCTGGTACACCCCTCACAAGCTGTGTGGCCCCTTAAAAACCTCCACCTCAGGCCCCAGTGCCTATGGCCGCATGCTGTCACTGGCCAGATTTGGCACACCACTCAATGGCCCCATACGGCTCCACTCATCAAACCCCACGTGGTTGCGCACTCATGCCGCCGCCGCCCAACTTTGGCGCACGCCTCGCACGTTTTGTCGCCCCATACGGAACCCCACTGGAAGCCCCGCAAGTTATCCCCGCATGCCACAACCACCTCATTTTGGCGCACTCTTCACACGCTTCGTGGCCCCATACGGAACTACACATAAGGCCCCAGTGGTTGCGCCCGCATGCCGCCACCGTTCCACTTTAGCGCGCCCATCACACGCTTCGTGGCCACATAGGTAGCTCCACTGGAGGCCCCATGCTTGCGCCCGCATGCCGCCACCAACCAAGTTTGGCACGCTCCCCACACGTTTCGTGGCCCCTTAGGGAGCCCCAACGGAGGCCCGAGCACTTGCGCCCGCATGCCGCTCACACGCCTCGTGGCCCCATAGAGAACTCCACGTCAGGCCCAAACGGCTGAGCCCGCATGCCTCCGCCGCCCAACTTTTGCTTAACCCTCGCACGCTTCGTGGCCCAATAGGAAGACCCACCAGAGGCCCAAATGGTTGCGCACGCATGCCGTCGCCGCCCAACTTTGGTACATCACTCACACGTTTCGTGGCCCCGTAAGGGGTTCCACAAGAAGCCCCGGTGGTTGCGTCCGTATACCGCCACCGCCCAACTTTGGTACACCCCAAACACGTTTTGTGGTTCCATAGGGAGCTCCACCTAAGGCCCCAATGCTTGCGCCCGCATGGCGTACCCTATTCCCTCGGTGGCTGCCATATGGATACGCAGTTGTCGCGCTTCCATGGAAGGGTGGCTGCGCATGTGTTGTACCTTTGTTGCTGTGCACCCGACCGGGCTTGGTACTGAGGATTGGCCCCGTCCCGTGGGCTGATCTTTAGTTGATGTCGACCCACCTCGCGCCATTGGGGGCCTTCTTAGAACCGCCAATCATATATCCTCCTTAACTTTCTCGTAGACCTCGTGCCTCCTTAATTGTTCCATATACTCTCCCCGATCCTCTAACGTGAGTTCTGGATCAAACTCGCTTATTGACGCATCATCCCATGCCTGTGCTTTTCCTTTCCGCGGTGAACTTTACATATGTCACCGCTGGCAGCTGGCAGTACCTCAGCAGCGCTCCCGCGTGGCTCGCACGCCCCTGGAATTTTCAACCCACCACTGGTGTTGGCGCACTCCACGTATCCACTGGTGATGCTGGAATTCCAGGGAAACTCGGCCGGTGAATTTGGTGGCGACGTTGCGCGCCCCTCCTCTGAATTATCTCCTCCATGCTGCGGTTTCCCGCATCGACCACTACGCGAGCAGACCTGGGTACTTTGTCAACACCGGCGACTTGGATGGGCATGTCCACCCTAGATCCTTATTCGCTTTCCCTACACTGACCCGTTGCCCATGGTTCCTGATGACTGGTTCCTTCGCTGCGCTATAGTGCTTGCCGTAACAGCAGGCCCCCGTGGGCTTCACCGGGAATTTAATCCTTGAAACGTGGGGGTCCAACGACGCTGTCGCAAGCTCCTGGACCAACGGCAACAACATCCGTCTCCACCCCACTTTCCGGGTCCTTCACTAGTGCCTCATTGACTTCTTAATTTGGGCTCTCCATTTACACAAACTGTAGCCTGGCGCTGTTTGTTCATCAAGCTTTTCTCCGGCTCCATACACTCCGAGGTTCGGTCGGTTGTCCTGGTTGGGGCCATGCTTGCAGTTTTCGCCGCGCCCGCGCAGCGCTGCTGACCTCGATCCATAACCCGGCTTCCCTGTTCCTCCTCTTCGTCACCAGGCACTGCGTCCTCCATCCCCTGCGCCCCCCAAGGTGGCCCTAATGCTAAGGGTTCGACAGCGCCTCCGCGTTTGTCGGCGACCCCGCCCAGGCCTGGCGCCGCGGCGCCCTGGTCCTGGAATAGGATGTCCTAACAACTGCGTAGGCTATCCTGGGCTTCCTGCCCCCCGTGAACTGGAGTGACCTCAGTGGCGTCTTGTGGCAGCAGGCTGCAGCGTGACCCTGTTCGCCGCATTTGGAGCACTCCTTCTCGCGGATCGGCACAACTCCTTTCTTGAATCCTCCTTTCCAGCCAGGGGTTCAGCTCCCTCGGTGACCTCCTGGGGGGGGGCCCTTCGTAGCCTCCCTTCGCGCAGCCCCTGGGTGGCCCACTTGGTGACTTGAAATCTCCCATTGCATCCCTTCAACCCCTCGCGCCCCCCCGTTCCGCCTCTTTTCCTTGAGCAGCCTTTTTTTTCGGCGCGGTCCTTGGCCATGTCCCCGCGCCTTCCACGCCTGCAGCACGTGGGCCCTTTGCCCTTGCCGCGCCCATGACTAACGTCGTGCACGTCGCCGTTCTCGGCCGCGCCCCCCACGGCCCAGGGCCGCCAGTTACCGACGTCGTCGCCGTGGCCCGAGTCGCCCCGATAGACTTCTCAATTTCCACTGTCGTCCTTGCTAACCTGGCCAGTGCCCGTAGCATCGGCGGTTTTCGCGCCAGCGTCTGGCCGTTCCTTCCTTGCCCAATCCTCGCAGTCAACGAAAAGCGTCTGGCGCGTGTCCATGTTCAACAGAACTGGCGCGTGCAAAACAATCTCGCTGCCGTGTGTCAGAATGGTTCACAAGGCCGTCCGAGCCGTTCTACTAATGCGCTCCACTGTTGAAACTGCACAACCACCTCATTCATGTTCTGCGGCGTTCCGGGACTCATGGCCAAAGTCAGCATGCGCGAAAGAGCATGCCCGGCATCCGCAAAATACACAACTTAGTAATGTTTGGTCGGCCACCAAACCATATCTTCATGCAAGCCCATACGTAAGCCTCCCGTGGGGTATGGTTCCATCTTGTTTGTCGTCCAACACATACCAAAGGTCCTCGCCAAACTTGGAGCAGTTGTCTTCATCCAACTCTTACT